ACATTTCTAAGCAATAAGGTTAGCCTGACGGATAGGTTTTGTCGTTACGAACTAGTCTAAGACCCAGTCAAAATCATTTTGCATTGAAATTTTGAGCAGAGACGAAATTAGCGCCTTTCGCAAGTATCAAAATTTCTGGAAAAGAAGTCGAAAAAAGTATTTTTTTAGGTTGTTGAATTGGCTGGCTATACATCACGTGTTTACCAGATGTTCATGGTATTTGAGGATGTAAAGCGACAAGTATTTCTTCGGGAAACAGCTATCTCAACGGAGTGCAGAACAATTGCTCAAAATTCTGATTTCAGTAGGATAGATGGTACTTTCTTCTAATTTGCCAAACTGATTTTTAAGTGCTTGCTTCTTTAATCGCGAATTTACTGAATCCAGGGATTTTGCACCTCAGTCTAGATCTGCTGTCCTAAAAAATTTACACTTAATCCAATCGCTATGTGTTATGGAAATTTTAAAATATAAGCATGTGAATATCCGTGACCGGGAGACTGAAGGAGGACGGAGAGCTTAAAATCGTCTATGTATTAACATTTGCAGTTGGTTTGGAGTTGCTAGCCCACCGAAAATGGAGAGAAACACCTGGTCGAATTTTGATAAAACACCCAGAAATGGCATTTAGATCTCGCATATAGGCAAATTATAATCTTCGTGTTATACTTTAATTTAGATGCTTGTGAAGAAGTGTAAATATGTTAATTTGAGGTGAAACTGTGGAAACGAACGATACCATACGATTATGCAATGTGCCTATTGTTACCCCAACTGGCGATGTCATCATCCAGAGTTTCAATTTGGAGGTCTGTTTAAACAGCGATTATTTCATCCGTACATTTATTGTGAAGTCCTAACGAATGAAAACTAAAAGCAGCTAGTCTTTTTTTTTTTTATGCTACCACTAAAAATGCTTTACTCAGTTTACCTTCCTATTACTACAAGCCGCTAAACTCAAACATCGGACAATTTCCTGTTGATTGATAGTTTTACAAATAAGTGTTGTTGTAAACAGTAAGTTCCACTCCACCTGCGTAAAAACCCAGGCTTTTTTTAAAGCTGAATTTGAAATATATAAATCGCACATTGGCATAGAATATCCTTGTAAAGTTTCAACTCCCTAGTATGAATGGTTAGCGAAATCGCTTTTCGTTACAAATGTTACTGACGTGTTGGACATGCGATCAGTACCAAACCTGTAGTTTGCCACAGATGAAAAGGATGTCAGGATCGCCAGAAGGCAGTGGCCATCAGGTGACGCAGCACTGATCAAAACAACTAGAAAGGCTATCCACTGCACAGATAAAGTATTAGAGGCTATGAATTTTCAGCTGCTATTTAGGGCATTCGAGAATTATGGGTCAGTATGAGAAACACATGATTTGGTATGAAAATTCCTTGTTTTTGTTTGTCGTTTTCAGATTTGTATCGGCATGCACCTATTCATCACAGGCCCAAATGGTTGCGGCAAGAGTTCACTGTTTCGAATTCTGAGTGGCCTGTGGCCATTGTACGGTGGACGTTTGGAACGACCACGAAAAACTGAGATGTATTATTTACCGCAGCGGCCTTACATGAGCTTTGGAAACTTACGAGAGCAGGTTGGTAAGTGTTCTTGTGTGGTTTTTTTTCCGCAGTACATTTTCCTTTGTCTGCTGAGTATCGAATATTTCGTTTTCAATCCTCTCAAGTTTTTTTTTTTTTTTTTTT